ATTTAAATTATACTATTTTTTAATATTGTTCGTTATTACTGATTTTTTTTTCGTTGTGTCTTCTTGCTGTAGTTTCTCCCCATGATTACTGTTTAGTGTTTTATTTGTTTAATTATCGTTATATTTAGCAACTGTACTTTGAAAATGTATAAAGACTGATGTAAATTCATTTTATTCTGCTTTAGATACTGAAGATGGAATCTGAGAGAATTCCGAAACGTTTATCCATGTCCTTGTTACGTCTTCGTTTGTTAATTGATTTTCCGTAACTTCGTTCCGACGAAACTTTAGCGACACAAGTCCTTACTTAATAAAACTGGTTTATTCTTTCTGAATATAACTTTACGATACACTTGATTTCAACATTCGCGCTAAAACAAACGTTATAACGAACTTCGACAATACTCTCTGACTGCAAATCAATTACTCACTACCTACACACACATTATTCCCGTCACGTTGTGAGCGTCTTATATATATATACCAGACTAACATATATCTAGTAAATGCTAGGGCATTCACGAAGGTACAGGATAGTTCTAGAAACGTGGCGTTACACTAGTCACGTGACCTCGCTGACGCAACATCCCCTTTTTGTCAATAAACAGTGTTGTGTATCATAAGTGTCGTAATCTTGTTTATAATCAAACTTCGTTTTCCTTCGAACACATCGATCAGTAAATTCCTTTGTGAACCAATCAAAATTAAGATAATTCAAGAAATGAATTCGTGGCGTATTCATAGAATAATTATTGGTATAAATAAGTTAGATTAACGCCTTCTAATATATTGAACAGCCAGTGCGTTTTGGTAACACTACGTTCCAACAATGGCTTAGCTACAAAAGTATAACCTAATACTGCTGTTAGTTTTTGTACTGAAAGTATAAGATGAAATGTATAGACAACAAAATTGGAAAAATATTTGTTGATTTCTTAATTTAGACTTTCCGTTGATTAAAGAGGTTTTTTTATATTAAAACGTTGGTGATATAACAGAAAAATAGCTTACTTCAGAAATTATTTAAGTTTAAAATTGAATCGATATTTTTACTTTCATTATAAATTTTATGCACTTGGCGGCTAGGTGATCCCACACTACGTCTATACTTTAGGCTTATTATACTAACACTCACTACAGTTATAAGGTTCCCCCTCTCACGCCCCCCCCCCCTGCACCCTCGTCACTAAAATCGTAATGGACAGACAGTAATCGAACGATTATATCTGGATAAATGCATTATGGCTTTTATGACTCCTTCTATTTTGAGAAATCAAGCGTGACGTGACACACACTGGCTTTTATATAGGTAAACTTTTATATTTTGGTACAATATTGTTTTTTTAATCACATATGCAGGTTTTCCAGATTATACTACATAGTAAAATGTTAAGTGAAATTTTGCAATTGCTGGTTGTATGAAACTTTTCTCGTTATTTTGTTTAACAGAGATACAAAGCCACATTGAAAGAGAACACGAAATAACAACTAACCAGACAGAGTTTCCAAACGTTCAAGAGATGGAACACACAGATCATCATCATCATCACTCACTTATCGGGGAAGCCCACATTTTAATTGGTGTTACACTGATTTTGGGCTTTATCTTCATGCTTTTGATAGATCAGATAAGTTCAGCCCATTCAAGACTTTCAAATACTGGTAAGTTGGTTGGTTATATAGGTTCAGCCTATGAAAGACTTAAATTCAGATAGATTACATAGTGTATCACATATACGTTCAGCATCTGTAAGACTTTCAAATATTAGTAGGTTGGTAGATTATATACGGCTTTCAAATTCAAGTAGATTGTACAATGGATTATATAAGTTCAACCCATGCAAGACTTTCAAACTAATGTAAATTGGTAGATTATATAAGTTCAACCCATGCAAGACTTTCAAATACAGGTAGATTGAATAATGGATCTGATAAGCTCAGCACATGTAAGACTTCCAAACTAAGGTAAGATGATGGGTTAACTTATTTGTTTGTTGAACTTCGCGCAAAGCTACTCGATGGATAGTTGCGATAGCCGTCCCTAATTTTGAAGTGATAGTCTATAAGGAATGTAGCTAATCAACATCACCCACTGCCAACTTCTTGAATATTCTTTACCAACGGATAGTGAGATTGACCGTTACATTATAACACCCTCGAAGTTGAGAAGGCGAGCGTGTTCAGAGAGAGAGGTTTTGATTCCGAGATTCGCAGATTGCGAGTCAACTGCCCTAACCACCAGGATTTATTAGGCCTGATGGATCAGATAAATAAAAAATATTTTGAAACTCGGGTATCTCAGATATCTTCAGCATATATATATATATAGGCTTGAAAGTTACGTAGATTGGTGGATCAGAAATGTTCAGTAAATGTAAAACCTTAAAAATAAAATACGTTGGTGGAACAGATAGATTAGGGACGTGAGAGGTTTTCAAACTCGAGTATCTAAGATATTTTCAGTACATGCCTAACTTTGAAATATAAGCAGATTAGTGGTTCAGATAGGCTTAGTACGTGCAGACACAAAACATATATATTTGTCATAAAGATGATCAGATTAAAATAAGAGAGACTAAGTAAGTTCAGGCCTATATTTGAAATAAGTGAATTAAATAAAATGAAACAATTTAACCCAATCAGAGTATTTGAAATTGTTAATGTACTGGATCAATCTAATTTTAATTGAAACGTTTAAATTTAATTTTTTTCAACAGATACTAAAGAAGGGGAGGCTAAGCAAGAAGGCTACAACATAACAACCACTATTGGGCTAGTTGTTCATTCAGCAGGTAAATTAATTAGCAGGTGGTAATTTGGTCATTATGATCTTTAAACAGAGAATTGTATCATAGGTTTCACTGGAATTATACAAGTCCTGTTTCATTTAGTTCTTTCGGTTCTTTGAACCACTTCTGTAAAGATGTAGATGTTTAAAAAATATTTTTCATGGCTGATTAATTTAAATGTTACCTTATATCACAGGTATATGTATTTTTATTTGAGTTTTACTGGGTAAAATGCTATCAAAGTCGTTTCTAAACACAACATTAACTTACTTTGTTCAAACTGATTTGGTGTTCTCATGGAACTAAACATCATAATGTTAAAGATTTCTTTATTTGTTTTGTCATTCGCCATTTTTTATGCAAAGTTGAATGAAAAAAAAAAGCTAAGCTTTCTTTTTCTTTCAGACACAACGCATAGAAGTTTTATTTTCTCATGCCCCCTGCTGTTCCTCACAACTGATTCCCCCATCTATGCTTTATTCTCGAACTCGTGTGGTCTTCCCTTTGCCTTCTTTGTGATGTACTATTTTCTTTATCTAAACTAGCAGTATATTAGTCTGTTGTTCATTATTTTTATAAAATGTGCCAATCATATTTTGATTCATATGTGTATTATATTCCACATTAGTGTAACAATATAGTCAATCTTATCTTTTTTTTATGTTTTTCAATATCTACATCTTATATAACATGAAAATATAATGAGGGATTCTAACATATGACCTATGTGCATGCATAACAGTCATTGACATTATTGTAAGGGAGTAAATTTTGCTTATTAATGATTATTAACTTAATAAGTTACACACATTAAAACTAAACTTAGTAGTTAAGACACGGGCGTAAGACTGGGAAAGATATTGTTCATTTGAGGAATTATAGGCTGTATTTTGAAATAAACCCATGCAGTTTTAAGCGTGTCGAGGGATCCGTTACATAAGTAAGTGTCAAGTGCTGGTGAATGGAGGGGGGGGGGTTGACATTGAATAAATTGGTAATTTTTCACTATTGTAGGCTTGCGCCCGTGGCTTTACTAAATTACATTGCGTTAATTTTAAAGCACTTAGATGTACTTTTAGAGCGTAGATTTCGCTCCATTAGTTGCTTAATACTAGGTTCACATTCATAAGCAGGTCAACTTTATATATATGTTAAGTAATAATGCTGAGGGCATAATGTTTGTGGCAAAGGATTATGTTGATAAATAAAGTCATAAAAATGTGTATTAAAAATAAATTAAGATTAGAGCAGTTGAAAAGTGTATTTTTGAGCACTAGAAAATTATTATTACGCTGATTGTTAGGTAAATTTTCTTCTTTCTTATTCTCTGTTTCATTTGGTGTATGTTTATTTTACTAACAAAATAATTTTTTGTTTAACTAGTTGATGGTATTGCCCTCGGAGCGGCGCTTAACACATCACATACAGATATAGAAATGATAGTTTTTATAGCAATTATGCTACACAAGGTAAGTTACATTTCACTCGATCTCGAGAAGGAAGTAACCGTAACCGGTTTCTACTAAACTCAGTATCTTAAACAATGATACTTAGAAGTTAAACGTAAAAGTATTTTTTTCACTAGAAATATTTCTGGTTTGCTGATGGTGTACATTATATTTAAACTGTATATGTGTGTGTGTAAAGGAGATGTGTAAGATACAAGTCTAAAGCATGCATAATCACGTGCATCTTTATAAAAAAAATTCGTTTTGTAGTTGGCAGACTTAGAATTAGTTGATAGTTGTTGTTGTTTTTTTATTTTGTAGAATTTGATTTTTTTTCGATTGAAAGTTCTTCCATAAAAAAAATAAAACTAACACATTGAAGTCCAGTAGCTGATAAGTCTCTAAACTTCTTGCTACTGGAATCTATTTTTATTCTTAGATCAGTTGAAATCTATAGGCTTAGTGTCTCATTCGTTCATACTTGATTACTCGAGAGACAACATCACACAATAATGTACCTTCTATAATCACTATCTAGTATTATAAAGATTGTCATTTCCTGAAAACTTCATTTATTTATCTATATATAATGTGCTCAATGTGAGTGCCAGTTTTGGGACATGAGTTTGTAAATGTATAATTTGCCTATTCTGAATCACCCTGTTTAAAAGTCTTACTTTTATTTTCAGTATACGATAAAAGTTGGGTTACTTAAAAGCTGTAGCTTGGATCTTTGTCATGTTTATGATAAACACATAGTACAATAATTTGAGTTACTTGTATATAATGGTGGAAAGCACATAAGATAAAAATGCTTGGTAAATTGCATTAAAAAATCAAATAAAACCATGCTGAAATGATAGTTTTTATCGCTATTTTCTGACTTACTTGTGTTAAATCTCATGTAGGCACCAGCAGCTTTTGGCCTGGTGACCTTTCTTTTACACGAAGGCTTGGACAAGAAACTCATAAGGAGACACCTGTTGTTATTTGCTCTTGCTGCACCTGTATTGACTATCATATCTTACTTTAGTATAAATCAGGTAAGATGATGTAGTCTCCTTATAGGCATAAGCTAAACCTAAGGTTATATAAGTGGTAACATCAGTTACAAGAGTGTAGTGCAATATAAACGTACATAATGACGTCTATATAGTTTCAATACAAATCTGTGAAATCTGGGAGCAAGTTTGGTTTTGAGTATAACGAATATGCGTCAGTGAAGAGTGGTCAATCCAAGCCACTTATTAAGTAATTAATAAATTCAAATCGTCTTACTACCCAAAGTTACATGTACATTATGCAGGTTGGATAATATGTTAAGTCAAGTCTAATATATTATGTTTCACAGTGTATTTCCAGCAGTGACTTCTGATAGTGTATTAATTAAGTCAAGCCTAATGTATTAAGTTTGACAGTATACTTTCAACAGTGACTTGGCACAACAAGTAAAGAAAGTAGAGACGTCAATGTAGAATTTTGTATATATATTTTGTTAACCACTATATGATGTGAGACTGCGCCACAAGGAAAGGTATTGTTCTTACATCTTATTTCTTTTCTTTCAGACGGCTAAGACGGCTATGTCAACATACAGTGTTACTGGAATTGCTATGTTGTTTAGTGCAGGGACATTCCTATATGTTGCCACGGTCCATGTGTTGCCAGAGGTGATCAAGCATTCTCACACTCAATCTGCTAATACAGAGTCTGTGCAGTCAAAACAAAAAGGTCTTAAAGTAATGGAATTATTGGCATTGATAGTGGGTGCGATTCTTCCTATGCTGTTGTCTTTTGGACATTATCATTAAGGGCACAAAGAAGACACACACAACACAAAAACATTTGCAATATATGTGTATGTTATTTTATCCAGATTTCTTGAGTGAGCATTTATATGGATTGAAATATGCTTCTACTTATTAACATTTATTGTTTCATTGGCATTTTATAAACATTATTCATGGATTAAGCAAGTATATCTCTGGTAATTAATATGTTTTTTTTTTATACTCGCTTATAAAGCTTGTCCTATATACTTATTCAGACCATTATTTGTAACATATGTTAGTTAACACTGTATTTTATTCAGATATAACTTATATATGAATTAAGAGCTTTCATTCACATGCATATATGTTTGTTAAGGTTTTACTTCCGTTAGTTATTCATTATAGGATTGTGTTTGAAATATTAATATTTTCTTTGAATTATGTAGTTGCTTTGTCAGTAATTGATTTGTATTATTTGAAGAACATGGATTTGGTATATCTTACTTAATTCTACTGCACAAAGTATGTATCTTGTTAAGATATTGTTCGCTTGTGATTAAGTTGATATTTCACTGGTAGAGAAGCTGTAATAATTTGTAACCATGGATATATATAATGCATTGCATGTATTTCAAATGAGGTCATGAAAGCCTCTGCAGCTATTATGTGTGATTTTGATTCTTTGTTCGGATTGAGAGTGCATTAAATTTGGAAAAAATGTCACATTATTGATACCCAAAAATGTAATGTGTGCTTTGTTTTTTAATAGTTTATACATTTAATACTATTGTTTTTAGATTATTTTAAACTGTTCATTAAACTTTGGTTGGTGGGCTATTGGTCATTGTCTTGAACCCATTCTATCTATACAGCCGATGTTAAGCGTTGGTGGTAACAGAAGTTCTGAATTGGTGTTATTTATAAAGAATAAATGAAAAAATATTGTATTACATTTTTTGTACAAAATTCGCATTTAATATTTGTAGAAGTCATATTCATATTTAAAACTAGGGAAAAGCATGTTTAATAATCCAATGAATGCAACCACCAGCACTTGTCCAACGAAATCGAAAAACGTTTTTACTAAAACTAGTTGAGCCAAAGTGTTAACCTGCTAATTACTCTTAGTAGGGCACTTTTTAGTATCTAAAAGAGCTAGGCATGGCCTAGAGGTTAGCATGCTGGACTGTGGATCTCTCCATGGTTCACACCCCCCTTCGCCACAAAAGAAACAAAACAAAAATACACCGAGCTCCGTACTTTGGGGCCGTAGGTGCGCTATAAGAGTGACAGTCAAATCCCACTATTGGATTAAATCATTAGAAGACTTACCTGTTAACTATCTGACTTCATTTTATCGAGACTATCAGTTGAAGTCAAATTGGGTTTCGATACCCGCGGTTGGAAGAGCATAGATAGTCCATTGAGCGATGTGCTTAACAACAAAACAAACAATATCAGTTCAAATTTAAGAACGACTAACACAAGTAGCCCATTGTATAACTTTACTCGAATATCGGAAACAAACAAATATCTAAAATACAACGACACAGAATTCTGGTTTATAAGAAAATTTAAACATTGTGTAACTTAATTGTCGATACTATTATGAGAATTCTTATACACATGTTTTAATAACCTTTTCCACACGGATCAAAGACTGCGTTTGTTGACTCGCATTCAAAATTTTATTCAACTACTATTTTATGAATTTATGCCAATAAGTTTGGTATCAAACTGTAGAATATAATTCAGATTTTGATATTATACATTATTTAATTTCTTAATTTAAAAGTATATATTAAAGAAGCACACCTAAACATCGATTTTTGTGTGTCACGTGGTATGTTGAATGCAGCGCTGGTTCAAAGTAAATGTATGTGATGTCATAATACAAAGTCTGTAGTTTCGTAAGAATTAGGAACTCAAATTACCGATATTAACAAGCTCAAATATAAAATATGAACTTCCTGCATTTTCTATTTGCTGAGATATAGCTCATGTACTGAATCAGAAACAGTGGCCCAGCTCACCTCTTTCTATATTTGGAAACGGTCCCTTATATACACTTATTTCTGTCTATGACATGTGAATATACAATTTCAAAGCTCAGAATGTCCCCTAGTGGCTTTCTCAGCCATTTTCAAGTATTACGACGTCATCTCGTTATTTCGATACAAATCTTCAAGCTGGTAAGGTGAGTCTTTAGTCTGCTCGGGCCCCACAGTGGCACAGCGGTATGTCTGAGGACTTACAAAGCTAGAATCTGGGTTTCGATACCTGTGGTGGGCAGAGCACAGATAGCCCATTGTGTAGCTTTGTGCTTAATTACAAACAACATAGTCTGCTCGAAATTTCAAATTTTTTTAGACCCAAATATAGCTTAGTTACTAAGGTTGATAAATTATAGTGGAATTATATGGTATCGATGTAGTAATTTATGATTTTTGGTTATTTCAAATGTATATATAAAACCTAAAAAATTATTTCGTTTCACATCCACCATGTGCGAAATTTTATAAGGCTTAGGAACCTACGACAAGCAGCAAACGAGTACAAAAGTCGTAACTAGAAGAGATAATTGTTTGCTTTACTTCTTTATTTACTGTTCTATGTTTTAAGAGAAATAAATTTAAGAACATATTTGTAAATAGTAATAATGTATATATTATGTATAGTAATTGAAATGTGACTGTATTTTACAAAATACTAGTCCACTAAAACACACAACCAAGACAGGTCACTTTGTAAAGACTAAAGGTCAGTTTTATATTATTGAATTCTGTAATACGAGTGCGCGTGTGCCGCGTCATTATAACTTCTGTATTGTAAGCCAGGCACGGCTGAAAGGTCAATATAATGAAAATAATTAATATATATAAATGTATAACGTTATGAGATTTAAGCTCTTTAGTCTAAACATTCGTATTTTCTCGTTAAAATTTGTACTCATTCTAGAACGAAAAGGCATAATTTATATTTATTTCCTAATTTTGTTATGATGGTTACGAGATTGGTCAAATCGACCGAACCCATACAGAGATTCGTTAGTGAAAATAACAGATAAAATATGAAGTTTTTCTCAAGAATGTGTGTGTGTGTGTGTGTTTTGTTATAGCAAAGCCACAATAGGCTATCTGCTGTGTCCACCGAAGGGAATTGAACCCCTGATTTTAGCATTGTAAGTCCGAAGACTTACCACTATCCCACCGGGGGACTTTTTCTTAAGAAACATTTGATAACTATCTGGACGTTATAAAGATTTTGCATGTGAAATTTGAAAATTATTTGATGCATAAAAGTATTTTTAATCTTAAAATGAAAATTAATTTGCATGTTGAATAGACAACATGCGAAAAGAATAAAAGGCATGAGAAAAACTTTACGACTTAATTAAAAACCTGATATTTTGCATATGAAAGCCTTGTAATGTTTACTGATAAGCTGCCAAATTTCGTGAGCATACGCTTAATAACTTAAAAGATATAGCATGAAAACTGTAACAAGCAAAAAATGGTTACGAAGTCGGTCACAGGGACCGAGCCCATGCTGAAAAAAAAAGATAAAAAAAAATAAATAAACATCAGACACAGAGTGATTTACCCTTTGAAATAAAAATCTGAATTTCGAACATCAATAACACGAAACCGTCGCGATCATTGTTCGTTTTATTACCAGAACCAATAAGAATTTATTAACTAATGAACTATCCAAGTCCATAAGGAGGATACATGAGCTGTTGGGAATTTTCTGGGAAAAAATAAAGAAATGAACACCATTCTTCTCAATAAATATACACTGAACACTCGAGATAAATCACTTCTAGTGCATAATATGCTCATTAAGTCTAGTTAAAGATACAGATAAATTTTAAAGCAGATGTTTTAACCCTTCAGACACATCTGTTGCCGTTCGGACTTGTCTAGATCGGTATTTAGGTCGTAGTGGACGACATGGGAGGGTCAAGTACCTCTTCTTCCCTCCTTGACTATTGTTATTTTCAAATGCTACATGATAATTCACGAGAAATAGCGCATAAACACTAATAATATTTGTTTCACTATTCCTATTACCCTTTTCAGGGTCATGTCCATGAATTTTATCTTGTAGCATTTCGTGTTATTTACCACTTCACTCAATTTGCATTGTACTTCACAAAACGGTTCGTTGGCATAAAACAAATCACGATCTTTTAAAGCATAAAGCTGCAGAATGAATTATCCGCGATGATGATATGTTAGAACAAAAGAGTTGATTATCTAGTTTGTTTGTGAACACCCTAGCTAGCAGATATATATGTATAGTAGCTTTATTGTACTACAACACATGTTGACCCTCGGAGATACTATCATCATTATAAGTTGTTTGATATTTGGCAGTTCAGCCTGCAGTACACTTTATACCATATATATTGGCTGAATACCATGTTTAAACTATAACTGCTGATCAGCGGGTGTGAAACCAGTCAGTACCATACGCGCTATTCTTAACCTAATGGCGGGATTGACCGTCACTGTTACAAATTTCTTTAAACTGTTTTTGTTTGTTTTGTGAATCTCGCGCAAAGCTACACGAGGGCTATCTGCGCTAGCCGTCCCTAATTTAGCAGTGTAAGACTAGAGGGAAGGCAGCTAGTCATCACCACCCACCGCCAACTCTTGGGCTACTCTTTTACCAACGAATATTGGGATTGATCGTCATATTATAACGCCCCCCACGGCTGAAAGGGCGAGCATGTTTGGTGTGACGGGGATTCGAACCTCTTAAACCTGAAAGTGCAGAACGTGTTTGTGACATATCACGACTCGAACCGTTTGTCTGCAGCCATGTACGCTACCCATGCCCGGTCGATTACGAAATTTAGGAATCATATTCACTGTCTGTTGTTTCAGTAGATGTCTTAACGAATACTGATGTACATAACTCGTTATATTCTTATTTATCTACCACGACTCGTTTCACTGAATAACTTATATAAGTATTAATTATTCAAGAAGGACAAAACGCCATAAAAAGTTAAGAAAAAGTTTTGGTAATAGAATTAAATTTTTTTTAAGTCTCTTTCTAGCTATTGTTTCAATTTCTTACTCTGAGCTAAACTGGTTGCTACGAAACTCAGTTATTCTAATATACTGTTTTTGTTTTGTTTTTACAGAAAGTGTCTGCACACATCACACATAAGAATGTTCTCTCAAGAGTATTGGATGTAATTTTAATAGTAATGAAGGGTCTTCTGCTACCCTACAGTATAGAAGTCCGTCTAGCGGCGAGATATTATATCAAAACATTACTATCGCAAAGTTGTAATTTGCTGAAAAAAATTTATATCAGTTGTAATGCCCTAAAAGATCATGATATGTCGGAAAACCACCACCTATTATCTCGGGTGATATTTCGTAGGGTTGGAAAACCATCATCTATTAACACAGGTGGCATGTTGTAGAGTTAAGAAGGCAACCATCTATTATCTCAGGTGATATTTCGTAGGGTTAGGAAGGCCACCATCGTTTATCTCAGGTGATATTTCGTAGGGTTAATAAAACCACCATCTATTACCTCAGGTGATATTTGATGGGTTAGAAGTTTCAATAATCCTCAACAAGTTTTAAAATTATATTTATTGCGAGTTTTCGGCTTCTGTATCAGCAAGTTATAATTTTTGAAGACTCGAAACTTAAAACGTTGAATCCTAGAATTTTAATAATTGCATAATCACGTTGTAAGTATTAAACAAGATTACGATTTGTTGTAAAGAGAGCTTAATATGACAAAGAAATTCGTGAAGGTTTAAACGTTTCGAGTTCTTGCTTAACAATAGACATTAATTACGTGGCAAGCGTTTTTCAGGATTATGAATTATCCCATCTGTCAACTACTGTATTCTTAATGTTGTTTTTATCTATAAAACACAATTATACGAAGTTGCGAAATCGAGTTCCTAGAACAATGA